ACCCTACACCTAAACCTACCCCTCACAGGAAACTTTATGCATTTTTAGATTTTCAAAAAACTTCATTCAGTATGATTTATAAGCTTTTGTACCTGTGGGGACCACAATTTAGGTCCCCACTGTGACATGAGTCCCCATGAGTCTGTGTGCATTCAGGTTTAAGTCCCCACCAGAATAGAAAAACAGGTACACACATCACACACACACACACACACACACACACACACACACACAAGCCTTACAGCATGAGAGAAAGCTGAGATGCTGATTTGGCCCAGTACCAAGATCACCTGTGACAACTTGCTTCAGGATTTTAGACGTTTACTGCGCAGTTGCTATTATTCTGTTAACCTCTCAGTCCCATTTATCAAAATACAAACCAACAACCGGATATAAAACCAAACCACAGATATATTTTGAATCCGTTTATTACAATATCAAGCAATGGATATTTCGATTTCAAATCAATTCTGTTCTTTTGAACTTTCTATTCATCAAAAAATCCTAAAACAATGTATCATGGTTTTCACAAAAATATTAAGCAGCACAACTGTTTTCATCATTGATAGTAGTAATAGTAATGGCTGCTGAAAATTCAGCTTTGCATCATTGGAATAAATTACATTTTAAAATAATGTATAATAATTAATAATGTAAAATTGTAATAAATTGTAACAAATAAATGCAGACTTGAGCATAAAAGAATGAAATATTTTTTTCTTCCAAGGAACACTTTTTTTTAATTATTATTACGATGTTTATGATTATCTGTCATTCTATCTATCAATCATTCTGTTATCATCATCTTTATATTATTATTATTATTATTATTATTATTATTATTATTTCAATTATTGTATAGTGTCTTATAATGTTTTGCAGAATTCAAAAAAAGGTAATTTGCAACTTTTTAACTTGCAATTCTTACTTTTTCTACCTTTTATTTTCTATTCTGTGGAGGAAACACAAATCGTAATTCTGAGTTTATATCTTTAAAAAAAGTTTAGAATTGCTAGAAAAAGTCATAATTGTGAGATAAAATGTCACAATTACCTTTTTTTTTTCTTTTCTCAAGTGGTGAAAATAGGCTTCCATCAAAACTAACCTTTTAAACACTAGTGTACATTTTTTTCAATTAAAATGTAACAATCAGTGATAATATATTCTTTGTCTTGCGTTGCGTTATCTAGTATTTGTAACTATATGTGCATATGAACGTGTCTGTTTATTTGAACATGTGCCATATATTCTTGCTTTCCAGGTGTGGTGTGTTACAAATTGGAGATAGAATTCTTTCCATTAATGGAATTCCCACTGAAGATGGAACACTGGAAGAGGCCAATCAGCTGCTCCGAGATGCAGCACTGGCCAATAAGGTCATACTGGAGGTGGAGTTTGATGTAGCAGGTACAAAATGTCATTTCAATCAAAGATCAGTGATTCAACTTGATTTTGAATGTGATCTGAACACACAATCACAGGTTTTTGATGTATATTGCTGTGTGTGTATCTCACAGAATCAGTCATTCCCAGTAGTGGCACATTTCAGGTTAAGTTGCCCAAGAGACGTGGAGTGGAGCTGGGCATTACGATCAGTGGTGAGTGATGACCAAAAGAGGCCGCTGTTGACCTAGAATAGTTTACAGATCAAATGCACCCAGCATTCAACGCTCTCAATATAATATCAAATTTGAGGTGTAATTGTGTTGCAAAATAAAGAAATAAATTTACTACAAATAAATTCTAATTTGCAGTGAGCAAGAAGCCAGGAAAACCTTTGATCATCTCTGAGATACAGAGCGGCAGTATTGCACACAGGTAAACCATCAATACAACTCATTACAACTATTCATTTGATAAACCTTCTTTGACAAGAAAAACTGATAGATATTGATCTGAAATGGCCTTTTATAATAGAATAGGAACCCTGGAGCCAGGTGATCGTCTGCTGGCCGTTGATAATGTTCGGCTGGATAATTGTGGGATGGATGAGGCCATGATGGTCCTCCAGCAGGCCGAGGGGATGGTCAAACTGCGGATTCAGAAAGACGAAGACAACCTGGGTGAGAGTGTGTTTTTGTGTGTGTGTGTGTGTGTGTGTACTCTTTAAAAAAAAATAAAATAAAAATGCTGATTCTCATTTGTACTGGGGACATTTTAACTTGTGTATTTGTTTATTGCAGATGAATTAGAGTCTTCCGGTTCAGTCATATTCACAGTAGAGCTCAAGAGACACGGAGGTCCTCTTGGAATCACCATTTCAGGCACTGAAGAGCCCTTCAACCCCATCCTGATCTCCAGCCTGACCCGCAACGGCCTCGCACACAGGTGCGCACAAACACTCACCACCACATCCAGTGTTTCATGCAGCAGTACATGAATAATACATACTCAAACCTGCATGTTTCATAATACACATCTTCTGACATCTTGAGCAGCAGGCTCACATGTGATATCTAGAGCACAGTGTCGGGACTGCAATGCAGTTAGTGTCACCTGACTTTTACATGAGATTTTTTAAATGAAGTCTTAAACATTACAAAACTGAAGTAACTAAAAGTGACAACAGCAAGTACTAAAAAAATTGTACTTAAATGGAAATTTATGTATGTAAGCGATTAATGTCCCGTAATACAGGTATAAATTTTTTTTTACAGTATGAGATTCACACATATTTGTTAAATTAGACAATTTGATGGTGATTATATGTAATTTTGATGATCAGTGGAAAGTTAATGGCCTTTCTTTGTAAATCCTTTATGGCATACGCTTTTTCTGTTGCGGTTTTAGTTTCTGTGGCTAAACGCTTGTTCAAGATGCACACAGTCAACATACAATACTAGCCTGTTTGCTTCCATAGTCTGTATGCTCCTACTCTTCTCTTCTCTATTTTTTCTCAGGTTTTCTGTCTCTCGTCTGCCTTACTAATCATCCATGGGCCACTCGCTGTCATCCGCCCTTGTCTGCTTCTTTTTTATCGCTCATTTTTATCATTTTATCTCCTGAATTAGTGCACGGCCTCTTCAGACACATCAGTGTGTGTTTCTCTTTCTCTAACCGCAGCTGAGAACAGTGCACAGTGACTGTTCCAATCATGCCGTACAGTACAGTTTTATAAAGAGGGAGAGAGCTCCGTTTCCAATAGTACACCTGGCCTTACATTACCCAGGTTGCTTTGCATTGACACAGATCTGTCAGTCCCGCACGCTGTCACAGCCACAACAATAGAGATGCTCAGGAGAACTATTGGTCACAAGCTCTTCAGGACCTGGAGACCTGCGGCCAATCGGAAATCCTGCGGGAACTTGAGGTGAATCGACTCTTTATCAACACTTTATATACAGTCTATGTGCTTTGATTGTTAAATCATTATGTTTTGGCTTTCTAGCCACTCCCAGTTTGTTACGTAGAGGTGGGCAACATGACCAAAATCTATACCATGATAGAAGTAATTCTCAACAAAAATATTTACCATGACATGTGATTTGAGCAAAATCTTTACCATGATATGATTTTTTTAAACCAAAATCTCTACCATGATAAGGATTTTTCAACCAAAATCTTTACCAAGATATAAGGATTTTTTTTAAACCAAAATCTTTACCATGATATACAGTAAGTCATTTTCGACCAAAATCTTTACCAAGATAAAAAATAATTTTTTTAACCAAAAGTAATCAGCATATTAGAATGATTTCTGAAGACTGGAGTAATGATGCTGAAAATTCAGCTTTGCATCACAGGAATAAGTTATATTTTTAAATATATTAAACTAGAAAACATTTATTTTTAATTGTAATATTTCACAATATCACTATTTATACTGTTTTACTGTATTTTTGATCAAATAAATGCAACCTTGGGGAACAGAAGGGCATAAAATAAGTCATTTTTTAACCAAAATCTTTACAACGATACAAGTAACCAAAATCAAAGAGTATTTAAATCTCTTAATAGAACAAGACCGACCGCAAACGTCATCATTCATATTAGTCCCGCATGTCATTCCAAATGTGGTGCAGTTTGTATTGGAGTGTGTTATATTTTCTTTGTAGGCTACTATAATGTCAGGCAGCACGCTGAGTTTAGGAGAAGACAGCGAGAAGCAGAATGAAGGCAGGACCAAAGCTCTCTCATTGAGCCCAGAGAGGACCTCAGAGAACACCGCTGTACTGGAAGACATGAAGGACACCAGCCCATCAATGCCATTAGAGCTTCATAAGGTAATGTTCACTTTCCCAGCGGTTGAAATCACAACTGAATGCCTGTCAGATCTTCATTGTCTCCCTCTGTCTCAAGATCTGTATGCAGAAGGATGTTGACAGCAGGGATTTTGGGTTCAGCGTGTCCGACGGTCTGCTGGAAAAGGGTGTTTATGTGAACATGATCCGTCCAGATGGGCCTGCGGACCAAGCTGGGTTACGCCCATATGACCGTATTCTACAGGTGACGTATTCTACCGGCTGACCTTTTCTTAAAGGAATAGTTCACCTCAAAATGGAAAATGTCACTATTTACTCACCCTCATGTCGTCTGTGTTCTAGAAGGTTGAACTGTTCCTTTTACCTTGACAGTTTTCTTAAGGGGGTCAGTAAGATTTATTATTTTTTTTAAAGAAATCAAGCGTAGCGTTAGTTCTGGCAGGTCAAGTTAGTCAAGCTCGCATCAGCTGACTTTCAGCTGATCCCCGTCTACCTATGGGAATACGACACCTATCTAAGCATTCATATATAAGGTCCCTCAGTATTATCAGCAGTTTTCGCATTGCTCAATAGCTAATTACCCTCCTCCATCCCCAGTTCCTCCTCTGTCAGTCAGGATTCAGCCTTCTGATTCTCCTTTGATTCAGACTAATTCTAAAATGTGTACATAAAATTATTGAACTTTAACGATATCTGCAATACATTTATGTTGGTTCTGTTCTGTTTACCCTGGGGTGGTTATCGCTGCTCTCCCTGCTCTCATCCATGCTAGGCTGCATGGATGCGCAGGGAGTTCTTGCCCAGAACAGAACCATACCGCCAATCCAAACTGTATGCTAATTGTCAATCATCTTTGACGATAGTGGTCCTGACAGAAATTAATACTTTTATTCAGCAAGGATGCATTAAATTGATCAAAAGTGACAGTAAAGACATTTGTAATGATACAAAAGATTTGTTTCAAATAAATGTTGTTCTTTGAACTTTCTGTTCATCAAGGAATCCTAAAAAAAATAAATAATGCATCACAGTTTGCACAAAAATGAAGCTGCTTTCAACATTTGATGAGAAATGTTTCATTAGCAGGAAATCAGCACATTAGAATGATTCTGAAGGATCATGTGACACTGAAGACTGGAGTAATGATGCTGAAAATTCAGCTTTGCATCACAGCAATAAATGACTTTTTAAATCTCGGGAGTTAAATCTACTGATTTTGTTTCTGACTATTTTTAACAGGTCAATCACGCACGGACACGTGATTTTAACTGTTGTCTAGCTGTGCCGTTGATCACAGAGGCCGGAGAGCATCTGCAGCTGGTCATTAGCAGAAACCCTCTCGCTCAGGCACACGTTTGGCCACCTAAAAACTGTCAGGACCCTTCTAAACTGTCTGTGGTTTCTGCACACAATCCGAGAAGAGTTGACCTCTGATGAGCAACACAAACACAGAGCACAATTTTCAGTTTCACACAAATGGTTCTCTCTCTCAACTGCACAGTGGACACGTTAGCACTACTTTGTCAATATGTATTTGATCATTTTCAAACTTTTTTTTTCTCACAAGTGAGGACCCACTACTGATTTTTCATGCTTTTTTAAAATCATCCCGCACCAAACAAGCCACATCTTCAAAGTTGATTTGACCATTCACAGTGGCACGTGACTTTCGTTTGTACACTTTGTTCATACATGCCACTTTTGTTTGTATTATAAATGAATAACACACTCTATTAGTTTCTGCTGTCAACAAGACCACTTTGATGTGGATGCAGGTTTTCACAAAACACAGAAACTTCAAGCCATCCGTTGTCTGTTCAGACGATAAAAATCTTTCTCTGAGATCAAAACCATGACAGTTTGACAATCGATTTTTTGAATTTTTCTTAATGAGAAGCTACAATTTTACCCTTTCCAAGAGTGACGTCTTGATATGAATGTTTCAGGTGCATGTGACGCGGTTCGGTGATGTCATTTGCGTATCATAAGGCGCTTTATGTCTTTATGTCCTGATACAAACCAGGAGTAAATTCAGATTTGAAGTGAAGTCCTTCAAAGGAGCTTGTTTTAAGTCTAACTTTTAAAAGCAGATCCATCTCTGTATATTGTTTACCCACAATCCTCTATTCTGTGTATAAACCCTTTTTCCTGGATGTTAAATATGTAGAATGCTATGAATAAGATGTACATTTAATATTCTTGGGTTAGAAATGATCATTTCCTTTTTTAAAGAAAATAAAGGCTAAAAACCAGTGTGTGTGTGTGTAACCCTGTCTGTGGTAAGGAAACAAGCTTAAACTGAAGACAGGTGCATGTTGGGATCTCTCGCTGTCGTTCCAGCACGTGTGCCTGTCAGGACGTGATGTGAACTTGACCATCAACCTCCACATCCCGGTCCATTCTGGTACAGAATATCAAAGAGCAGGCATAGACGTTTCTGAACAGACTTTACACAACACATACCAAGATTGGACATTTTTATTTTGTCTGAAAGATGCAATGTGCATCTAGAATGGTATCTGTCACAAAACCTTGGTTTTACAAGATTTTTTTGTTTTTGTTTAATCAAGTTACCTTACAGTACAGCAACATGTGAATGAAAAATCTGATCTTGAATTTCCTGTTTTCATCATATTACAGTACTTTCCAGCTGAGATTATATTAAGAAATGGACAAAGCCAATTGTTTACAAATATTGCACACTGCAAGTTGCATTTAGGTTGACAACTAATAAACGTTTAAATATAAAGTTCTGAATACATTCAGAAAAAATATAGGCAAATGACCAATCACATCAGGTACAGTATAAAATGGTTAAATACAAAAAGGCAAATTTTAGATAAATGAAAATACTACAAATGAGCAAACACTGAACAGTTAGCTCAAGATGGGTGGAAATAGGTCAGAGGGTTTAGCTAAATCTAGAAGGGTTCAGGGGTCAAAGGGCAGGTCGGATGAGCTGATGTGTACAAAGTCGCTGGGGTCAGAGGGGACAGTATTTATGGAGGCTGGGTGGTCGAAGGTAAAGGACACAGAAGTATTATGAGGGGCAGTTCTTTGCTGTTGGTGATTAGCTTGAATATTTGGAGGTTTTAAGGCTAAAGAGACAATCTCGTACTTAGACATAAAGCCCAGGTTTCCTGCGTTCATTCTGAAAGCTGATGGTTTGGTGATTGTGAGCGAGTTTGGCTGTGCTAAATCATGTGATATACAGCGGCCTCCAAACGTCTGAAATGCCTGGGAATCAAAATGGATGATTCCCATCAAAATCAATGAATTTGATTGGAATAAAAAAAAATGATGCACTATATCTAGGTCACTAATCAAATGCAAGTGAATTAGTGATATTGATCATGTGACTTTGTACAGACAGTCCACTGATGCACAAGATGCTCATCAGGTTTTGTTCATGTCAGCTTTTTCCTCAAATTATTATGCTGATACAGTATATAATTCACAAAGAAAACGATCCGAAAAATGAATATATACACAATTCATACAGAGCCCTGCACATAATATGTGGGAATATATTCCCTCGTTTTAGTTCAATCATTTTCACAAATTAAGAAATTGTTCCCACAACTTATTTATTCATTCCCTCATTTTATTAAATTGAGGTCACGCTGTACTAACGCATTCCCTATTTTGATTGAATTAAAATGAGGGAACGGATTCATTTGTGGACATGATTTGACTAAAACAAGGGAACAAATTCTTAATTCATGGTCACATATTTTTGTCTGCATGTCATGCTCTTTAGCATTAATCTAAAACAACAACAAAAAGCATTGAATATAAAATAAAACATCTAAAAAATAGATTTTTATTCATTCTTTAAGTCTTTTAAAAAAAGCTATGTGTACAATACCAAATGAATTAAAATATGATTGATACATTTATTTTCTTGAAGAAAAGTAGAAATTTGCTGACTTTAACAGGTTTTTAATAAATTTATATAAGTGAGGAAGTCGAAAAGTTTGAATTAACTTTTCTTTAAAACAAAAACATTTAGGAAAGTTAAATAAAATGAAAAAAATTATATATATATATATATATATATATATACCCCCGCTGTACATGAACAGCTAGTAAAGTGCTGCCAAACGGCCCTGCGTGGTGTTGATAATCATCAGCTCTCAGATCATCTTACAGTAAATGATGCTTATAATAGTGCATCAAATGATTCTTCTATTAGTGAACACAGCTGTACAGTGTTAGAGGAACTCAGTGGCTCGGTGTGTGTGATGGCAGTGATCACTATGGTTCAAGGAGAGTGAAAGGACAGAGTGTTAAGGTTTGCTTATGTCTTACGTGTGTGTGCATGTCTGTGCACCGCGTCCGCTCAAAGCGGAGGTACATTCATTTTTTTTCAAGACAAAGAACATTTAAGAACCTCATCGAACAAGAGTTACTGCCACAACCACTGACGGACGTCATAATGTAGCGTATGTCACATTTAGATGGTTGCTGTTTTACAGTGAGACTTCCTAAAAATGAAGCTAAAACTCGTTCGCTCTGCTGATGAATTGCATTCTAACCAGGTGCGACACAATAAAAGTCATCATACACAGTAAAATGCAATGCAAAGCAACAAAATCAGAAAAAAATTGATGGTTTATGTATGTAAATCTACGCGGAGCAGGATTTTGGACCAATGAGATTTCGCTGTGACATTCATTTGAGTGAATGAATTGGTATTCAAGACTATTATAAAAAGAATTTATTTTGATAGCCCTTTTTTGTTGTTGTTATGACCCAAAACTGAAATTATTGATGATATTATAATCCTATTTTAAAATTTTGTTTTAGATTTAGTGTGAACATTAAAAATGTTTTTTTTTTTTTTTTAAAAAGGGAATCTATGTATACCAAACCAAACCAAACCAAAAGTAAATGATGCTTATAATAGTGCATCAAATGATTCTTCTATTAGTGAACACAGCTGTACAGTGTTAGAGGAACTCAGTGGCTCGGTGTGTGTGATGGCAGTGATCACTATGGTTCAAGGAGAGTGAAAGGACAGAGTGTTAAGGTTTGCTTATGTCTTACGTGTGTGTGCATGTCTGTGCACCGCGTCCGCTCAAAGCGGAGGTACATTCATTTTTTTTCAAGACAAAGAACATTTAAGAACCTCATCGAACAAGAGTTACTGCCACAACCACTGACGGACGTCATAATGTAGCGTATGTCACATTTAGATGGTTGCTGTTTTACAGTGAGACTTCCTAAAAATGAAGCTAAAACTCGTTCGCTCTGCTGATGAATTGCATTCTAACCAGGTGCGACACAATAAAAGTCATCATACACAGTAAAATGCAATGCAAAGCAACAAAATCAGAAAAAAATTGATGGTTTATGTATGTAAATCTACGCGGAGCAGGATTTTGGACCAATGAGATTTCGCTGTGACATTCATTTGAGTGAATGAATTGGTATTCAAGACTATTATAAAAAGAATTTATTTTGATAGCCCTTTTTTGTTGTTGTTATGACCCAAAACTGAAATTATTGATGATATTATAATCCTATTTTAAAATTTTGTTTTAGATTTAGTGTGAACATTAAAAATGTTTTTTTTTTTTTTTTAAAAAGGGAATCTATGTATACCAAACCAAACCAAACCAAATGAATTAAAATCTGAATTAATTAAATTATATCTTTTCTTGAAGAAAGTAGACATTTCCTGATTTTAAGTCTTTTTAATAAATGTATTATTGAAGGGAAGTAGAAAAGTCTGAATTCACTTAAAAATAATATTTAAAAAAATAAAAAAATAAAAATAAGAGAAAATTTAAGACAATTTTTGTTGTTGGCGGGGCTATTCAGATTGACAGGACCAAAATAGAAAGCAAAATGTCTCATTGTGGCTCTGTAGGACCAAAATTCCAAAATATGAAAGAAATCATAATGCGATGAGCGGTAAATCCTGTCGTTCCTGGTTAGGACATAGCTTAATGTGAAACACTACAGATTAAACAAACCGCCCCAGACAGCAAGCTCACATCAGGTTATTACAATATCAGCATTAATGCTAATACCATTGATTACAATCAGAATACAAATCCTACAATCATTTCATAAAAACGCACTAGTGCAGAGCGAGAGAGAGGAATGGAGGGGAAGGGAGCGGGACAACAGGAAAACAGGATCTCCCATATAGAGGACAGGAGCGGGAGAATATGGGAATCTCTCTTAGAGAGCCTCACATAGTAGTTTCTATGATGGTGTGGCTGTGTTTGGTGAAGGTGTGGATGCCGTTGGGGTCCAGTGGGTGAAGCAGCTCGCTGTTCTTCTGGCTGTACTCCTTCGGACGAGAGCTTGCGCCTCCTTTAACCGGCGCCGCCACGGCTTTGATCCGCTGAACACAACACATCCATTGATTTGAGGACGTTTTCAAGACTATCATTAAAAATTACAAATGCAGTGACATAGATTTTAAGACGATAGCAGATTTTATGACCCAGAAGTGAAATCATGGATGATATTATAAACCTATTTAAAAATAACCTTGACAGCATTGACATTGAATCAAAAATAAAACGTATGGATTAAAATTAGCAAATAATAGTCTTTTTTGGAATACCAATATCTATACCAAATGAATTCAAATATGATTCTTTTCTTTAAAAAAAGTAGAAATTCACACATTTTAACAGTTTTTAAAATACATTTATTGTAGAGGGGAAGTAATTAACTTATTTTCTTACATTTTAAAGAAATGTTACTATTAAAATAAAAATAAAAAGCCTTAAGTTATAATAATAATAATAATAATAATAATAATATATATATATATATTTTTCTAGGCACTCAAAGCGCTTTACATT